CAGAGGGCCTTCTCGGTAGTGGCACCCGCCCTGTGGAACGCCCTTCCAGCAGATGTCAAAGCGATAAACAACTACCTGACATTCAGAAGACATCTGAAGGCAGCCCTGTTCAGGGAAGTTTTTAACGTGTGATATTTTAGTGTATTTTTGGTTTCTATGGAAGCCGCCCAGAGTGGCTGGGGAGGCCCAGCCAGATGGGTGGGGTATAAATAATAAATTATTATTATTATTATTATTATTATTAGCCTCATGGAGAGCACAGTTTGAAAACAGTGGCAGTAACTGGCTTGCCTAAGATTATTATTAATTAAATTTGTATACCACCCTATACCCATAGATCTCAGGGTGGTTCACAACATAAAAATTATAATATAAAAAACACAAAATACATAATAAAAACAAAGACAACCCAATAATCCTCTCTTCCACATCACATTTTAAAAGGGCCTTGGATGTCAATCAGCCCAAGGCCTGGTTAAAGGGGCCTAAGATAAAGGAGTCTTTTCACATATAGACCAACAGAGAATAAAAGAATGAGAACATTCTTTAACTTCTCTGCCTACTTGTGAACTAATGAGCAAGAGTGCACAAACAAATATTTAAACAAGTTACAGAAGACAGCCTGAAGATGCAAATACATTGGGAATTTGTGAACAGTTCACTGGAATCAGTCCCCTCCAAGAGTATACAGCTAGATCTGCCTTCCCCAGCACTTTCATGTAAAGGCTAAGAATGATGTATTAATGACGACTTCCGGGGTGGCGCCATCGGCAATGGTGGACTCCCTCTGATCTGGAGGGACTAGCTCCGCGCGAAACGGGTCTTTTCCCCTACGGCGAAGCGGGGACCCTTTCAAAAATCACAGGCGGATGAAGCCTGTGACCATGGGACTCGGCGGGCACCCTTAGCGCCCCCCCAACCCGCAAAGGAACCCACTAACGGGCTCCGAGCGAAGAGGGGGGAAGTGGCGCGGTGCTGAGAGTCAACTGCTTTTTCCGTGGAGCGAAGCCGCATAGCCGTTGCCGGAGAGCGCTGCCTTTTTCCTGGGACAATTTGGCTTCTAAAATAATCACCTGTGAGTACTTAAATTTCGGACAATTGGACTTTAAATAAGCACTTGCGAGCAGAAAGGAATTGGACTTAAAATTTACTTCAATTTGGCACTGAAACGGGAAGGTCTAAACAGGAAGTCAGCCTTCCATTTCTTTGTAGACAGAATAAAGCAAAGTCAAGGTAAACTAGAGCTCAGAAAATCGCTTCTAAAAGATTAACTTTCATCATTTAAAATTGTTGAACCCCCCTTCGGAAGCAGGAGAAGAAGGGGGATCTTTTTCAGACTGTTTAAACCTGCAGAAGTGAGTTTAAAGTAAAGTAACTTTCCACCGTCCTGATCCTGGAGCGGGGTGTCAGGACTGACGTTTGAAGCTCATTGACCAGAGACAAACGTTTTTGACAGATTGCTAAAAGAAGAGAAACATAGTGATTCCACTGTTCCCTTTCGCATTTGAAAGTAACAAATATTGACAAAATATCTGAAAAAGGAAACTTTGTTGCTAGATTTGTCCTTAAAAGAAAGAACAAATAGAAGTTTTCCCCCTAGAGGGAGACTGTGAAACTGTAACCAATTCCAGGGAGCTTGCAGCTGTTACAGATTACAATCGTGGGAATAGACTTTTGACCTTGTAGGACAATGTATTCAGAAGCTCTGTTGTGTGCTCTCTGTAAAACAAATGCCCTACTGGAACAGTTAAATGAGAAGATGGATTTGATAACTAATGCGGTCAGAATTTTTGAACAGGCAGTGGGAAACTATATGGAGCTCACCCAGGAATTAAAACAGGAGTGTGACCTGACAGAACAGATGAGAGAAGAGGATGTTGCTGAATCTTGGGCGCCAGAGATGGAGGGAGCTGTGGCCCTGCAGGAACATGAGCTTTTGGATTTGACAAATGAACTTGGAAAAGCCAGATTTGGAAAGATAAAGTTTGGACTGGTTTGGAAATGGGGGGTTGGATAGACCCCCCTATGCAGGGATGTTTGGACTTTCCAAGTCTGGCAATGGGCCGTGAGATGTTTGGGGCTGTGGGGGCTCTTAATTTTGGAGGGATTCTGAAACATGTTTTTAAATACCACATGGAGTTTAGTCTGGACTATGGAAAAGGGGCTGATTTGTTGAAAAGGGTCAAAAATATCACCAAGCTGGAGTTCCCACGAGTGAAAGGAGAATATGAAGAAGAGCCGCGGAAGGGACATGGAAGAGACTTAAGGGCCTCGGATATAAGGTTACCAGGTTAATGCGCTAGATCAATGGGATAAAAAGGACTGACAAAACCCGGGACCAGGAGGAAGGGACGCTGGATGAAGATTGGATTGTTTTTATTTCTTTTTTATTACTAGGATTGTTTTATAAAATTGATGAATGTTAGAAAAATGTTGGAACGAAATTACTTGGCTCTAGTAAAAATGTTTAAAGAATTAGGTAAGAATATTATGGTTATGAGAAGTTGGTAAAAATAAGATTTAAGTTTTAAGTTTTAAGGTTTTCTATAAGATAAGATGAAAATAGATTAAGGTAATGTAATGACAGAATATTATGAAATATGGAAAGGATTTGCTGCGATAATTAATAACCAGGATACAACCAGGATACAAAAAAAGGGAGGAGGAGGAGGTCAAAGAAAGAAGGTAATGAAAGTTGAGGATTCGAGAATGATGGCTTTGTTTTTGTCTGTTGGTGGTGTATTTTTGTTTTTTTGAATTTGTATTGTTTGATGTGGCTTGTTTTCTCTTTTCTTTCTCTTTTTTCTTTTTCTGCTTTGTTCTTTTTTGTAATTCTAAAAAATTTTCAATAAATATCATTTAAAAAAAAAAGAATAATGTATTAATGTTTTCCTTTTTATTTATCATCAAGCAAGCACTAGCTGTTCTTTCCATTGACTGCTTTTGATGCCCATTATTCCCATACAATGCTGGGGCCTCACAGTGATAAATGGATCCCAAGACGGAAGTGTTATGGTAGGCTATGACATTATAAAGCGTGCTGTTCTTCTGCACACATGTTTGCCTGGGGCACAAATGTATGACATATTATTCTCCCAAGCACTAAGATGATTATCTTAAAGCAAGACATCACAGGTACAGTAATTATCTCAAAGAAAGACATTTGGTTTAGAAGAGCATAACCTTAGAATCAGGTTTGCCGTTTGAAGGTGATTCTGGAACCAGCCATGCTCCTGAGGGATCATGCAGTGGTGGAGTGCCCTCTTTGCTAGTTCCAGTTGGTTCCCTTTTTGTGAAAAGCCTGGCCTAACTTCATTCATTCTCCTGTTCTAGTCACTTCCAGGTTGCATTATTGCAATACATCTGGGGATGTTTAGGAAGACAGTTAAGAAAATTAAATGGGTTCAGACTGCCACCACCATAATATTAAGTGAAGCCAGAAGGTCACAATTATAACTCTCCTTTAAAAAAAGAGAGAGAATTATAACATCTGCTCTAGTTTTCAGACTTAATTTAAGGTGCTGTTTTTCATCTTTAGGGCACAGGAATAATCTCTGCCCATATTAAATTGCCTCCTCCTTTAAGTCACATTGCTCTTGAACCATGTCACCAAAATAGATCATTTCCAAATAGCACACTGGGTCTTGTATTGCCGGTTGTTCCTCCCTTAATCTGGTAGTTTTATGTTGCTTCATGCCAAAGTTTGTAGATTTAACACAAAACAGTGTGATGATGTAGGTCTGTCATATATTTTCCAACTCCTGGTATGTTGTTGTTGTTGTTTAGTCATTTAGTCGTGTCCGACTCTTTGTGACCCCATGGACCAGAGCATGCCAGGCACTCCTGTGTTCCACTGCCTCCCGCAGTTTGGTCAAACTCATGCTGGTAGCTTCGAGAACACTGTCCAACCATCTCGTCCTCTATCGTCCCCTTCTCCTTGTGCCCTCCATCTTTCCCAACATCAGGGTCTTTTCCAGGGAGTCTTCTCTTCTCATGAGGTGGCCAAAGTACTGGAGCCTCAGCTTCAGGATCTGTCCTTCCAGTGAGCACTCAGGGCTGATTTTCTTCAGAATGGATGGGTTTGATCTTCTTGCAGTCCATGGGACTCTCAAGAGTCTCCTCCAGCACCATAATTCAAAAGTATCAATTCTTCGGCGATCAACCTTCTTTATGGTCCAGCTCTCACTTCCATACATCACTACTGGGAAAACCATGGCTTTAACTATACAGACCTTTGTTGGTAAGGTGATGTCTCTGCTTTTTAAGATGCTGTCTAGGTTTGTCACTGCTTTTCTCCCAAGAAGCAGGCGTCTTTTAATTTCGTGACTGCTGTCACCATCTGCAGTGATCATGGAGCCCAAGTAAAATCTCTCACTGCCTCCATTTCTTCCCCTTCTATTTGCCAGGAGGTGATGGGCCCAGTGGCCATGATCTTCTTTTTTTGATGTTGCACTTCAGACCATATTAGACCTTCCCAAAATCATATCTGGTATTATTAATCTAACTGGTTGTTTGTTTGTTTTTGTCCTGCTCATGGACTGAGCCCTGCTCGGTATTCTCCCCACAGTCTAAAGTGCGGTGGATGGACATAAAATAAATAACAGGGCCTTTTCTGTGCCTCTCTTGGAGCATTCTGAACAAAGCACACAAAACAACAGCCTGATGGTCTTCATAAATAGCTTCAGAATCCCATTTCACCAATGAGGCAACTGTTGATAAAATGAAGATGTCAAGAACAGTTTAAACACTACTTTTAAGGCAATATCCAGATTACAAGAACAGTTGAATATATAACATAGTTTGGTTAGTGAATTTATTGTACGCTTGAGTAAATCAAAAGGAAAGGTGTAATATTTACATGTCCGCTCCATATTTCTTATAAATATAGTATAAGCAGTTCCAAATTAGGTTTTAATTATGACTCAGTATCTTCATAGAATCATAGAGTTGGAAGGGACCATGAGGGTCATCTAGTCCAACCCCCTGCAATGCAGGAATCTTTTTGCCCAATGTGGGGCTTGAACCCATGACCTTGAAATTATGAGTTCATGCTCTTAATAACTCAGCTATCCCACTGCCTATATACCAGATGAAATGGGTCAGGCAGCCATGAAATATTCTTACTATTGAGTACATTTATTATTATTTATTAAAATTTAAGACCTCACTCTACACCTTTGTTTAAAATACAGTTGTTTTAATAAAAATAAGACTTTGGGCTAGATTCAGCTAACTCTGTATTCTAGCAGAAGTCAGTCCAAGGGCTCCTGCTAATGCAACAGGGCTTTTCTTCTCCTCCTGTCCACGCATTTCCCCAAATTCACTTGGGAGAGTCAGGAGAACCCTCAGCACAGCATGCAGGGGAGGAGAAAGGAGGTTGTTCCTCTTGGCAAACAGAAATGCTTGCGCCAAATGATTAGAAGACGGTGGTGCTGAATTTCTCCCATTACCTTTAACTTTTATCTGCATTTTCCTGGGTCTTTCACCTATCAGCTGACTTACATCAAGCAATTATAGACTTGCGTTAGAAGATAGGGTTATTGCTGTCCCAACCCCTGTAACCTTTGCTGGAAATGCTGTGTAATAGAGAAGGAATGGAACTCTCTGAACTAAAGATAACAAGATTTTTCTTTCTTTCTTTAAAGGCCAGGCCGGCAATTCTTTCTTTCCTCTGGCAAGAAACTGCTCTTGTTAATGAGTGGGTATGTCATGGTCTTCAGAAGTCATGTTGTGTGTGTGCTTGCCAAGAGCAGAAGGAGAGATGAGGGTTCAAGCAGACAGAAGCTTTTGCTGCCTCACTTGTAAGGACGGCCAGGATTCCAGCAAGCGGAGAGGAGGTGCAAATGTTAACAGGAACCACACTTTTGAGATTGTAACATGTCAAGCAAGTTAATGCACTCTATACAATATCCTATAATTTCTATGGGTAGCATATACAATAAGTTGAACACAACTTGTTTAAACACATAACAGTATATTTCTTGGAGAAAGGTCATAGTACACTAAGGTACTTGTGTAGACTCACTGGCCTTCCATTTTCACTTACAAAAAAGTGAATTTAAGCAAGGTTTTCCAGACCTTGCTTTAATTATGAAAATGGAGGCCAGTAGGTCTACATAAGTACCTTAGTGGGCTATGGCCTTTCTCCAAGAAATATACTGTTACGTGCATTTGCATGTAATATGCATTCTGCTGTTTCTGAACAGCTGGATTTGGCAGATGGTCTTAGATGAGTGACTTCACTTAATTACAAAGAGAGGACGAAATCCTCAGGACAACAGTCTGCTTACAAATGAAGACCAAAGATTTTAAGCTCTAATAGACAGCTTGCCTTTCTGTGTACATACTGTATATATTTACAGTGGTACCTCTGGATGTGAACGGGATCTGTTCCGGAGCCTCGTTCGCATTCTGAAGCGAACACAACCCGTGTGTGCACGGGTCGTGATTCACCGCTTCTGCGCATGTGCGTGACGTCATTTTGAGCGTCTGTGCATGCGCGAGCGGTGAAACCCGGAAGTAACTCGTCCCGTTACTTCCGGGTCGCTGCGGAGTGCAACCCAAAAACGCTCAACCTGAAGCTACTTCAACCCGAGGTATGACTGTATTCAATGAAAGTAGAATGGTTCTAGAGAGAGTATAAGGTGTGTTATAGGAATTCTAAGGTCTCAGATATAGAATAAATGTTGATAATTGCACAAGGTAAATACACATACATAAGTATATAAACCACACGTCTAAAATTGTACAGGAGAGCAATCCAAAAGCCATCTTGGATCTCCTGAAGACTCTAAATATTTCCTCTGCCTCCTAAATCCCCCTTGCCTGCGAACAGGTAGGCAGACAGCAATCCTCTCCTATAACTATGAACCTCCTTTGTATTAATTGTCATTATTTTCCCAGATATCTCTGCATTGAGGGATGTCTGACGGCATCTTGATCATCTTATCAAATGCTAATGTTTTGTGTAAACTGTGTCTGGAACTATGTAAAACTTGCTAAATCCTCAGGAATACCTTGGCCTGTCTGAGCCACAGTAGCCTCACCTTGTGTGTGATATAATTTCTGAATGTTTGTAGAGGGGATGTGCTTCTTCTCCACAACAAAATGCAAACCCTTAAAAGAGATGTTTCTTCTTGGTTCTGGGTCTCTCCTCTTGCCTCCTTGCAAGGAGTGGAGGGAACTCTGTTGCAACAGAAAAATAAAGATCTGTCTTGCTTTCACTTTATCCTGCCTCGATCCATCCATTCATCTCTCACTGATCATGGACTACGGGGACTCAGCCCCTTGGGGAATTGGGCAGCAAAAGCCAACCACCCCTATTTTTTCTATATCAGTGCAGGTTTCAACAGCAGCACTCCACCCTTTTCAAAAGGAGACTCCCTTAATGTGAACAAACTTATCCTAAGGGCACTTTACGTATAAAAGATCTTAAGTGTACACTTAAAAACTGTAAAGGAGCTAATTGCATATCATGCACAAATATGTGTTAGCACTAATGTCTTTTTTAAAAAAGCAAATCTAGACATGTAGACATTCCCATTTCCAGGAAGGAGGGCTGGGTCAAACCTGGAAAAAAGTGTCTATGAAGAAGCAGACATAAACATGATCAATAGGCAGACCTCCCAAGTTATTTAGAGCAGGAACCAAAGCCTTTCATATTATGCTGCCTAATCACTATACCTTTAAAGCACAATAGAAGCACATTCTTTCCCCCAAGAGCCCTGCACTTTACCCGTCACGGAATTATAATTCCCAGCAACCCTTAACAAACTACAGCACCCAGAATTCACGTGTGTGTTTCAGATGTGTTTTAAAAGTGCAATGAGTACACAGCAACTGCATGACTTGTTTCCACGCGTTGACATAACCAAAGCAATGTTTATGTTGCCCTTGGTGCGACTAACAAATGTTAATCAAGGTAGAAGTGTTGCCCATACTGTTGGCAACAGAAAAAATATGTACAAGTAGGATGCAGATCCTAGCCTCAGCACAGGCTGTGTCTCTTTCTAGCCAGCTAAACTCATTTCCTTTAATGTAAATCACTGTTGCCCTTTTTAAATAACCTGTAAACAACTTGTAAAGATAAAATACTTTGCTGTGAAAGACAAATTGACAGCAGGTTGAATGTGACTTGAGATAAAAGGGATGGTATGGAGGAGGTGAAAAGATAATGGAAGGCCAGACCATGGGGGGAAAGGCTTTTCGTTAGGGGAGGCAAAACCTCAGTTAGCCATGTATTTTTATCGATTGGGAGGGAAGCTGCCCCTCCCTGTCCCCCCTTGACTACACCCATGGGCCAGACCCCCCTAGCTGCAACTCAAGAAGAGCAAAGAAAAGGCCAAGAGGAGGCGATGCCCCACACCTCAACAGGTCTAAACGGGATTACAGTGGTACCTCGGGTTAAGTACTTAATTCATTCCGGAGGTCCGATCTTAACCTGAAACTGTTCTTAACCTGAAGCACCACTTTAGCTAATGGGGCCTCCTGCTGCCGCTGCGCCACCGGAGCACGATTTCTGTTCTCATCCCGAAGCATAGTTCTTAACCCAAGGTACTATTTCTGGGTTAGCAGAGTCTGTAACCTGTAGCATATATAACCCGAGGTACCACTGTACATATTTTACATAGGGACAACCAATCAATGCCTGATAATAGATTATAAGACTTGATCACTTGCTAACAGATCAACAATGGGAAAATCAAAGCAGTTTTAAATACAAAAACTATGGTACAAAATAATGGAGAATACCATCACTGGGACAGAGAAATGAGAAGGAGATTGACTCATAAGTTGACTGAGCCTGGCTTGCCCCTTGCCTGATCGTTTTGTGAGTGCGCAAAAATGATCTTTCTGATGTACAAAATGAAACAGGTAAGAACAAAACCGCAAGAAGATCCTGCAGGAATAGGCCACTGGCCCATATCGCCCACATCCTATTCTCACAGTGACCAGCCATTTGCCTGTGGGAAACTAGCAAGCAGGACCCAAGCACACGAGCAATCTCCCCTCCTATGGCTTCCAGCAACTAGTATTGAGATGCATTACTGCCTCCAACTGCACAGGCAGAGCTTAGTCATCATAGCTAGTAGCCATTGATAGCCTTATCCTCCATGAAGGTATAGAAAGGCCTTTTAAAATCAGCTTTGCCAGTTCTAATAGTAGCCATCAAAGATGTTATCTTTCCCCCCATGTAGTAGATCGGCCACATCATCAAGAGCTGAAAATGTAACTTTCCACTCCCTTGAGATAGCCAACAACATATCATGATCAAACTATACTTGAGAAGCCTCCAGGTCAGTGCTGCAAAAGCTTAAAATGTATGGGTTGTATTCAACCAACTTTTACTCAGGGTAGACCCATTGAAATTGCCATAACTAACATAGGTCAATTTCAATGTGACTATGGGTAAACATAAGGTGAATATAACTCTCACCCTCTCCAATGGCAGATGTTTTGTTTTTGGTCATGTGCTGGCACACATCTGAGGAAAAGTGATTTTTTAATTTCTTCATGTCCTTGAAAGCATTTGGCTGGCCACTGCCAGAAACAGGATACTGGGCAGGTGAACCTAATCTCTAGATTAGGAATACCTGTATATTCCTGAAATTACCGTATTTTTCGCCCTATAACACGCACCCGACCATAACACGCACGTAGTTTTTAGAGGAGGAAAATCCATAGGCATGCCATCTGTAGGCATTCCCTCCATAACATGCACAGACATTTCCCCTTACTTTTTAGGAGGAAAAAAGTGAGTGTTATGGTGCAAAAAATACGGTATTTATTACCCATATTCCATTATTGTGAGCAGTGCATCAAAACAAAGTGCTTTAGAAGAACATTGACAATTATTGACTCTTAAATATTTAATGTCTTAAATCTTTAATATGAATATAATGAAATACTATAATGCTTCTATGTATGGCTTCCAATGGCTTTGTTCTTTCAATTAAGCAAATTTCACAGAACAGGCAGAATACAGATTGATTTCATATCATTTGCTGACATTTCAAAGAGGAATGAGCCTGTCATGAATGCTGATTAGTGCAAATCAGAATTTGTAGAATTTGT